TTTTCAGGAGGAAGTTTATAAAAGGGGTCCATCTAATACTTCAAAAGCAGGAGTGGAATTGGCCGGGTAGCCTAGCTCTTAAAAGCAAGGGCCTAGGCTACAAGATGTGGTCTTAGGGCCATATCACAGCTTGAGGCCAAGGCCAGCCCAGGCTTGGGACAATGCTAATGTGTTGGCCCTTCTTTCCTTATTCTTATCTCTGTATACACCTTTTTTTTAATTTGTCAAATTTCCTTTATTTTTCTTGACTTTAAACACATAAAATGAGACCATACTATCCCAATACACCTTAGACCACAAACACCATAGTCAGCAGTCCCCAATTCACGGTCCCTTATCCACAGGATTACCTTAAAATTTGAAAATAAATAATTTTGGAGATGAATGTAACATTTTAATTTTGAAAATGGGATAAGAAATGACCAAAAATATATACAATATCATGAGAATTTGAATCCCGACATTCTGACCATCTTTCACCCAAACGACACGACACAATATGTGTCACCTAGACACCCAGTGTAGGAACAACATGTCTAGGTCATACAAGGCTTAGACAACCCAATTCGTGTCATCTGGTAGAAACTAATCGAGACGATACGAGATGTGTTGTCTAGGTCATTCAATGACATAATATTGTACGTGGGCCACACAAGGCTTGGACGACACGATTCGTGTCATCTAACCGACACAGACATTGAATATGAAGAAGAAGAGAAAAGAGATAACACAAGATTTATGTGGCTTAAGCCGAAGCCTTACGTCCATGGATCCAAAGCCCTAATTGGCTCCATCTTCACTATTTTTGGATAAAACATTACACAAATATGTGCCTCTATATATAGAGAACAATCACAATGAATCTTAGAGATAGAGGAAAATAATACGATACTTATCACCAATAACCAACTTGACCAATTAATTTGACTCGGTCTATGTTCAACACTCCCCCTCAAGTTGGTTCACGGAGTGAAGCAAAGTGCCCAACTTGCCAAACTGAAATTAGAACTAGAAGGTTTTTTTTGCTCAGCTCTTTTAAACGGATGTTTTCTTTTGCGTGGCACTGGGGCGGAGGTTTTCTTTTGCGCAATACTGGGGCCGGAGGTTTTCTTTTGCGTGGCACTGGGTTCGAAGGTTTTCTTTTGCACAGCACTGGGTTCGGAGGTTTTCTGTTGCACAACACTGGGTCCGGAGGTTTTCTTTTGCACAGCACGACACTTGGGCCTGGAGGTTTTCTTTTGTACGGCACTGGGGCCGGAGGTTTTCTTTTGCACAATACGACACTTGGGGCAGGTTTTCTTTTGCACTGCACGGCACTGCGCAGCACGACACTTGGGGCAGGTTTTCTTTTGCACGGCACAGCACTGCGTAGCACGAGGTTTTCTTTTGCATGGCACGACACAGCACTTGGGGCCGGAGGCTTTCTTTTTCACGGCACGGCAATTGGGGCCGAAGGTTTTCTTTTGCACGGCACTGTGCAATTGGGGTCGGAGGTTTTCTTTTGCATGGCATAGACTGGAGGTTTTCTTTTGCGTGGCAAAACACTTGGGGCCGGATGTTTTCTTTTGCTCTAATACCATATTAAAGTTCGAGAGAGCATGCACACAAACATTGAATGTGAAGAGAAAAAGAAGAGAAAAGAGATAACACATGATTTACGTGGTTGGTTCAGGCCGAAGCCTTACGTTCACTGATCCAAAGCCCTAATTGGCTACATCTTCACTAATTGGATAAAGATTACACTTGGGGCTGGAGGTTTTCTTTTGCTCTGACACCATGTTAAAGATCGAAAGAGCATTCACACAGACATTAAATGTGAAGACATTGAACGTGAAGAAGAAGAGAAAAGAGACAACAGGTTTTCTTTTGCTCTGACACCATGTTAAAGATCGAAAGAGCATGCACACAGACATTGAATGTGAAGACATTGAACGTGAAGAAGAAGAGAAAAGAAACAATACAAGATTTACGTGGTTTATGCCGAAGCCTTACTTCCACAGATCTAAAGCCCTAACTGGCTACATCTTCACTATTTTTGGATAAAAAATTACCCAAATACATGCATCTATATATATAGAACAATCACAATGAATATTGGAGATATAGGATAATATGAGGCTTATCACCAATAACCAATTTGGCCAAGCAATTTGACTTGGTCTATCTTCAACAGAAAGTGACCTAAACCTTTGACCGTTAGAATTTCAGAATTTGAGTTGAACCGAATGGATAATCATCACAAACCTCTTTCCAACCACTTAGAGGTTTATAAAAAGACCGATGTCTGACCTCTTGAGGGTGGGCCTCTTAAGTTACTTAGGTTCCACTTAATTTAGGCATTAATGAGAGAAGTAAGATATTTAGAACTTACTTAGTTTAGGCATTAATGAGAGAAGTAAGATACTTAGAACTTACTTAGTTTAGGCATTAATGAGAGAAGTAAGATACTTAGAACTTACTTAGTTTAGGCATTAATGAGAGAAGTAAGATACTTAGAACTTTAGGAAAGAAAATACATAAATCCCATAAGCAAAGCCCATACTTCAGCCTCTAAACATTAGAATTAAGAAAAGCCTAAACCCTAACTTAGAAATCTAAAAGAAAAAGGACAACGGTTTAATCATAGCCGCGATCTTGATATGGGCAAAGCTTTGAGCTTCGGTTATTTCAGAGGTAACTCTCCATCTTTTCCTCTACTTTCGACCATTTTATTTAGCATACATTTATTTGCTCCAATTTGGTTAGGTGTACATTTATTAACATCCAGCTGGATTAGCCCCTAGATCATAATTTGACGGGCCTCAATGACTCCTCTAACTATTTTAATTAACTAGTTTGTAGTATCAGGTTGGGGGTTTTTCAATTGAAAATCTCTCAAATTTGCACTATAAACAATCTCGTTATTTTCCTTAGATTATATTCGGCTCTACCCTTCCCACGCTTAGCCTGTTGCTAGGCCTACGTTTAAGTAAGGCGCACCTCAACTCCATTGTAAGTTGTTGTTTTAAAGTTAAATATCCTTAATTTGATCATCTCGACCTTAAGATGTATAGTCGTGGAAGAAGAAAAGTTCGAGGCCATTGTAAGGCTTGTAATGCTAAAATTGTATCTTATTGTAGGGTTTGGAGGTACACTTTACTTTTGATTGTTCATGACTGATGCGTTATATAAACCACACCTTATTTTCGATATATGTTATACTTAAAAAATATTATTTCTATTTTAGTTGTAGTATTTCTAAAGTCTTGCCCACTAGTTTGCCCAATAGTCGGTCTGACTCAAGAATCGATCACCCTATATTGTTTCTATCAATATATAGAAAATTGTCTAGGTCTAAAATAGAAATGATGATTTGCTACAATAAAACGATGTTTTTATACCATACAAACGCCGATTCACTGATTGGCCGTGGTGGGGGGGGGGGGGGGGTTGTTCATTTTCAAGTTTAGGTGTTTACCAATCTCTGTGACCTGCACCATTTTTTGAGGATTGAATTTCATAACTAAGGGTAAAAATAGGTTTCGAGGACATTGTAAAGGCTTGTAACGCTAAAATACCTGCACCATTTTTTGAAGATTGAAATTCGTAACTAAGGCTAGAAATAGGTTTCGAGAGCATTGTACGGGCTTGTAACGCTAAAATTGCATCTTTTAGTAGGGTTTGGAGGTACACTTTACTTTTCAGTAATTAATAACTGACACATTATATAAAGGGCGTGGTTTTATATAAAGCTTAGGCTCTAAACAATCAAATTAGAACCTACCTTCAAATAGCATTGAGAAATGTGGTTTCAATATTGAAAATCTTTGTGATGGTTTTAAAATATATTTTTATAATTATTTATAAAGTTTAAAGTTTTAAAAATAGTGCAGATCGACATATCTATGAAAACTTTGAAATATTGAAAATTGACAGGTTAAAATGCATTGCAAAATACACTATTTCCAAATTTTGTAATCTACTTTTTTCTCAAGTCTATGCATCTTGATGTTGAGATGATCAAATTGAAGATATTTGAACATCAAAAGAACCTCTTCAAGTGAAATTTTTAGGTAGGTTCAAATTTGATTGTTTAGAGCCTCATCTCTATATAAACTTTTCTCTTATATAAATTACACCTTATTTTCAATATATGTTATACTTAAAAAATATTATTTCTATTTTTGTTGGTGTATTTCTAAAATCTAGCTCAATTGATTTGCTCAATAGTCGGATTTAGGACCAAACATATCTTCTTAACATTTGCTTGCATCAGTGATTTAAAAAACTTCGGGTCGACACATAATCGCCCGGTCCAACCCGAAAATCGGTCACCCCATTCCGTTTGTTTCAATATATTGGAAATCGTCTGGGTCTATAAAGAACCGGCAATTTACTGCAATAAAAAGACACTTTACTACCGTACAAACACCGATTCAGATTGATTTTTGGCCGGTTCACTACTTTTTGTGCACGGTAAAATGGCGATCCGGATCACCGACATGGACCGGTTTTTAAGATGCACAATATAGGTCGTCGATCCATTTTTTAAATTACTAGTTTGTATAATTCTAGAGACTAAATACCAAAGATTAATGGCCTCATTATATACTTTCTCTTGTATTAATTTATAATTTAAAATTATATCGTCACTCACGATAATAGCAAACAAGGTGGACACTGATAGAGACAATGGAGAGAGAGATAGAGAGTTACAGTGGTCGCTGGTCGTTTTGCACATTTGTCGTTTTAAAATGAATGAGCATTTTCTCTCTCTCTTTTTAAATTTTTTTGGAGTTTAAGTTTCTGTCGTTTTCTCAGAAAGTATGGATAATATGGTAATTAGTGAGGGTTAGTGGAACGATTATGACCTAATCACTCTCTTTCCCTAATCTAAAAAAAGAAGGGCATTCTCGTCCTTAGGGCCCAACCCTTTTGGGCGCCTTCCTTTGCAGATAGGAACTCTCAATTATGTGAAGGAGCTGCCCTATACTCTTTTGGACTGCAGTGATCAGGTAACCACTCTTTCTCTCTCTAAAATTAATTGATCCTTCCTCAAGACCTATCAAGTTCTGATCAACAATATGTATTAATGATCGGTTTCCTCATCGATATTGATTTTCTCTGTACCCACTTTTCCTCTCTCCAAATGTTCTTGTCTATTTATTCTCCTGCGCTCAGTTTCCAATCCTCTCTCTAAAAATTTAGTTATTTCTTTATTCAGCCATTGCAGTTCCTTAGAAGATCATAGAAGTTTGGTGTTTCTGAATAAAAACAGAGTACTTTGCCGTACTTGGGCCAGCTGCTAAAGAACTGTACCAATGGCTCAACAGGTATTTAGTAATTAATGTTGCTTTCTTGATTCATGGGGTTCAGAGTATTGATTGGCTTGAAATGGGGTATTTTATCATACTGGTTTTTTTTTTTTTTCAATCTTTTGGTGATTTTTTACAGGAAGAAGGATGGCCTCTTGGTCTGCAACTTTCTGGTATGAGAGTTGGGCTGATTAATAATATTAATCGGGATTTATTAGAATCCATCTCTTCTAATACTTTGATCACTGGCTCCTTAAGCTTAAGTTCTTCCTCTATTTCTTCCTCGGACTTGGATACAGAGGTGATCTCTCTAAAAACTCAAATCTCTATCTCACTTTAAAAACCCATTCTCTCTCTCTCTTTTTGGTGTGTATATTTACAGTCTAATTAAGCGAATGCTTATTATTTTTACAGTCCAGTGGTTCCTTCTTCTATGACAAGAGCATCACTTTAGGGAGCCTCATTGGGGTCACCACTGTTAGAGACAGAACAAACAGAGTGGTAATCAACCGATCAAAGGGCCATCACTCATCAAAACAAACCAGGAAAAACCCAACCTCTAAACCATGGTTTTGTCTATGTAACAGAGCCAATGATGCAGAGGCTGCTCCATCTCTAGGCCATTTTCTCAACATCGAAAGAAGAAACTCAAATTTCAACAGAAGAGAGAGAAACTTGATGGGTTTTATCTTTGAAGAATTCTCAGTGATTCAAACTGGTATTGAAGAAAACTCTCTGTTCTCCGAAGGCCGAGTTGCCCCTCCACAAATTGTTGATGATGGGTCGAGAACTAGAGAGAGAAATACTCGGAGACTGGGTTCATGGCTTGAAATTGATGATCACAGAAGACCCAGAAGAGAAATTTGTAGGAGAAATGGGAATGGAGTTGGATATGGGGTTCCAAGGCTGTGTGTGTGGCCGTGCTAGACGATGAAGGTTTTCTCTCTCTACAATCAGAGAGCCATTTTCTCTCTCTTGAATCAGAGTAATATTTACTGGAATTTGCTTGAGAATTTCTCTCTCTCTCTCTCACATGAGTCTCTTCCCCTTCGGTTTTCTCTCTCTAGGATTGCTCTTTCTTAATTCAAGACATGTCTCTGTGTCTGGCCATGCCTGCGCCTCACTTTCTTTCTCTCACTAGGATTTAAATTTCTTTCTTTCTCTCACTAGGATTAAATTTTCTTTCTTTCTCTCACTAGGATTAAATTTTTTAATACTAAAGTGCTGGTTTGTACTTACGAAACACTGATAAATAAATTCCAAAATTTTTATGTTTTACTTTAACAATGTGGTTATTTAATTCTGATCCTATAACCATGCAGTGGGCTCCCTCCGGCAAACTTAGTTGGGAGCAGGACCCCAAAATTTTTAATTAACTTCATTAATAAAAAATAACGATATTTTATGCTCCTGCATGAGCGTATAGTGCATATTTATTCCCTCAGACAAATGACTTACTTGTGAGGATTTTTCACTTGGAAATTTTGGCAATCACCTAAGAATACGTTAGATGATTATTTTTAAAAGAAAAAAATTGAATTTTGATTTTCTTGACACTTAGATCTCGCTTGGGATGGCCCGTATTCAATTTTCTCAAAAAATAATCTATCACAATTCAAGACTGAAGCGATACCATCCAATTTGTAAACCTACATTCATGATTTCAAATTCCTATTATTCTTTCTAGCCAAAAGATTTCATGCTCTCACCAGAGTACACTGTCTATTTACTCCCTTGAGTAAAACAAAACTAGGAGTAATTTTAAGCCTCAAAAATTTGGGGATTTTAATTCTTCAACCAATAACTAACCCTCAATTTTTAAAAACAAAAAAAAAAAATCCAAATTGCGCTCTCCATGAACTTCAAAAAATAGTGTATACAAATTTATTTTCTTCTCTAAAAATTTAAGGCTTCAAAATAGTGTAGATCCAGCACATATATGAATGCTTGAATATCTTGAAAATGGATGGTCTAGATAGTATATACAATACACGATGTACTATTTCATTTTTTTGAACGGGATACAAGATGTACTATTTCTAGGTCTCAAAATCGCATTTTTTCCAGTTCCATATCCGACATCCCGAGGTCGATATGATCAATTAGAGGTTTTCTTCGGAATCAAAACAACCTTTATGAGTGAGTTTTTTAGTCATGCTTTATTTATATAGTATAAGGTTGACACCTTAAATACTTTCTCGTTATTTTTAATACATGCATGGTCCTCCAAATCTCGAGATTTTACATTGAAAGAATCTTTCTCTCAAGTAGATCTTATTTCTGGGGGTGTCAAGAGCCATACCCGACCAGGCTGTTGAAATTCTCTAAGGTAGGCCAAGGACGTGCCCAAAAATTAAATTTCGGGACTGACCCTGAAATACTGCCTATAAGGCTCGAACACCCAACTACACCAGGCCAGGCCCTTTTATAAATGGGTGTGGTTTGCATAAGGTTGCAGCCTTAAATAATCAAAATAAGGTGCACCTCCAAATTTTATCATAAAATGTAATATTTGTGTCAAAATTTTTTAGGATAGCATGATATTACATTTTTATATCTAATTATGAAATTTTAAACTCCAAAAATGGTTCAAATCAAGTAAATTTATAAACATAAGAAAACTTTGAAAATGGGCGGTCCAGATAATTTGTTGCAAGGTACATATTCATACATATGATATCGAGATGATCAATTAAAGGGTTTAAAACTCCAAAACCGTCTTTTCTTATGGATTTTTGAGATCCATCTTAGTCCGACATTTTGAGATCACCCTTATATAATTTTTTCCTTTATAAATATAAGACAAATTTTATTATAAGTACTTATTGAAAAATTTTGGGCCTGCCTCAGGTCAAGTTAGGGCTAGACCAGGCCCACCCCAAAAACATACATGGCCTACCAAAGCTCCGCCCAAACTAAGCCCAGCCCAAACTAGACCCAGCCCATTAACACCCCTAGCCATGTCCGAGGGAGAATGTGTACAGGAGCAACCGCGGGTCCTTACTCCTAAGAGGCTAGACGGAGAGTGAATCATTTTTGTCCCATTTTGAGTGGTCTTATAGGCAGAGTCGGCCTCGTCAAATGTGTCGTCTTGGAAAAAGAGATGGTGCTCTTCTTTTTGTCTTCTATGCCCTTATGGTCAAATATGGAGTGTGTGTAAGAGAAAAACAAAGGTATAGTGGTATTTTGGAAGAAAAGACGGGCAATTTTTGTAATAGACGGTTTCGATTGCCAATAATTATCCCAAAAAAACAAATAATTTTTGGATGTTTCTCTTTAAGAAAGAGGAGTACCTGCAGAACATAGATGGGTTTTATTTTATTGCCTTTTTTTAGTTTTTTTTTTTTTTTTTATTATAAGTGAGGATTACATACCCCAACCCATTTTTGAAGTGGGTGACTTGGGTGTCAACCTTATATTATTGATGTAAGGTTTACCTCAAAATTACATTCAAAATGCAGTTTTGGTGCTGCATAGGCTTGAGATGATATGAAAATTTACTGTTACCCCCAATTTTATAAAATTTAAAATTTTAGAAATGACGATGATGAAGCAGATTTATACATGTTTGAAACTCTTGAAAATCTTGAAAATGGACGGCCCAGATAATAGATTAGAAGATAAACTATTTGTAAGAGTAAAAATCCTAATTTTTTCATGTCTATGAATTTCGAGATCGAGATGGTCGATTTAAAGGTTTTCCACCATAAGAACAATATTCTCTGGTGGGTTTTTGAGCTAATTCAGTACAAGGTTGACACTTTGTATAAATTTTTCTTTAAAAAAAATTTAGTAATTTTCGCATGAAGCTTAAACCATTAACTGAGACTCATGTGAGGCTGCTACTGTGACCCAACCCCATTTCGATTTATTCGGTTTGCCACTGTGACCCAAACCCCATTTCGATTTATTCGGTGATGAGAGAGAAAGAGAGAGCACAGTAAACTTATACGTCTATGTACATGTGAACAGTAGAAGGAGAGAGAGAGAGAGAGAGAACGTGGTCTAATCATTTTGGTTTGGAAGGGGCCACTGTCAGAGAATAATTTTGGGGCCTCAAAGTAGTGTGATGGGAAGTGATATAGCCCCAGCCAACCCTAACAGTGCAGAGTGGAACAGCAAGTACAAGCTTGCCTCACCCCAAGTTAAGTGGAATCAAACTTTACAATAACCACAAGCTGTTTGGTTATTTTTTATTCAAATGAAAAAAGTCCAAGGATTGTGCAGTATAAGACTTTTTTTTTTTTAAACAAATTGTCTAGAACTTCTATTTCTCTTTAGAAAAATAAGTGTTTATAGATTCATAAGATTTGTACCTTTTTTAAGTTTCAAATTTCGTTGTCGGTGTTGAAAATTAGTTTTAGAACCATCATGGAGATTTCTAGTTTGATCTGAATTTAAAAACGATAGTTTATCTCCCTAAAATTTAAAATTTGACATAGTTTTTCTCTCTATAAATTTTGCAATCATTTCTCTACCTAAAAGTTTTCAAGTACTTTCTCTCTCTCTCTCTCTCTCTAAAACTTAAAATTTGAAATGGTTTCACTCTTGTAAAATTTTGAGATAGTTTTTCTTTCTATAGCATTAAATTTGAAATAATTTCTCTCCCTAAAAATTTGAGATAGTTTCTCTCTTTAAATAATTTGAAGGAAAAGGTACATTGAAACAAGAGATGACATAGGACCGCCATGCTAAGGACCGCCAGACACCCCAAGAAAAGGTACATTTAAACAAGAGATGACATATGTTGTCTTCATTTTTCATGCAAAAGAGGCAAATGGTGGCCATATGAAATCCTCGTTACTCGAATATGGCTATAATCAGTAACAGATTATGTATTGCTAGTCAGGAAAACCACTTAGACAATGGATGACATTCGATAGACCAAGGAGCACGACATAAAGGTTGAGATGGATGTTTATATTGAATGAAGTTCTATGCTGCCTTGATAGAAAAGATTCCATTGGCAGAATGCATCCATAACAATGAATCCTTCTTAGGCTGCAAGGGGAGAGTATATCTCCCCACACCACTCCATATGTTATTTAAGACAGTAGAAAAAGAAGAAGGCAATGCCCATGATTGAGGGTTACCATCAATAAAATCAACAACCTTGCAACGTCCTACAATTTCCCCCCAAATCCATCTGACCATTCTATTAAAGGAATCCCTAATCGATTGAATAGATAGCCAAGGGTCCATCAAGAAGTCTATTGTACGACCATTGCCAATGCACCACTGTAACATTATACCTTAGCTGAGACAGGCCGATGTGGCTACCCTTCCAAGCATGGGAACAGTCCCTCTTCGCTACAGACTCCCAAATGGAACACATTCTAAAGTACTTGTGCTTGAAAAAACATGCGACTAAAGAATATGGGTTTGCTATAATCCTCCAAGCCAGCTTCATCATTCTTGTAATATTAAAGCTATCATATCTCTTACCCTCAGCCCACCCTCCTCTTGAGGAAGGAAAATTGCCCTCCATTTGACCAAATGAACATCCTTATTCTCTATAACGGTGGCCCATAAGAAGTTATGTTGAAGCCTTTCTATCACGTTATGGGTTTTTTTCGACAACATAAATGATAATAGCCAGAAAATAGCCGAGGCACTGAGAACAGACTTAAGCAGATGGAGACGTCTGGCATAAGATAAGCATAAAGATTGCCATGTACCTATCCTACCGATCACCTTTCCAACCAAGCTCTGACAATAACTGTGTCAAAGATGGCCCTGAAATAAAGGTAACTCCAGATAGCACATCGGTAACGCACCCTCATAGAATCCCAACTTTATTAAGATACGACGTCGACTGCCATGAGAAACCCCAAATAAAAACACCTTGCTTTTTACAGAATTAAGCAACTGACCATTAGTATTTTCGAAAGATGTAATAACCGTCTTTATGCCAATGGCAGAAGCAAAAGATGTCTCACAGAAAATAACTGCATCATCAACATAGAAAAGTGTCCCATAGTCATACCCAGAGGGGAAGGCTTTGGGAATCAATCCCTGCATCATAGCCTGATCCAGTTTCTTGTTAAAGAAGTCCA